TTTTCCACCCCTGGTTCCTATCACCACCACTGTAAAGTTTTCCTATGATGAACTATTTCACATCAAACAACTCTGAATGGCTTTGTTTACATCTCAACCACTGAATTAGGGCTGAACAACATTGAGAAAAAGTCAAGTGTTTTAGGATTTTGTGATAAATATAGCGATATTTGTTACACAAAAAAATAATAACAAAAAATTCCCCAGATAAACTATTTGTAAATTGAGCTAATTCTCATTCTAGCAATGGGAATGATAAGTTTAGAGAATGATGAGTTTAGAGGGCAATTTAGACAGTAGTTCAATACTTTGGATGGGCTACACAAACACCATTTAGCAACTGACCCTTCGCAAAATTAAGATGGGCAAAAGTGCTATTCCTCCATCAAGTGAAGGAAAACTTTTCTGAACAACTTTGCCATGAGGGGAACATAATTCTTGAATATTCTATATTCTTTGATCATCTGGACAGTGGTGCTCTTACTCATCCCTTCCCTGAAGCTGAAAAACTCACAGCTCAATAGCAAAACCATTAACAAGCAGCTCTAAGCTAAACTCAAATTCATCTAAGTTACTGTACTTGCTAACATTCATTTTAATATCATGTTTAATGATAAATGACACTATAGAGCAATGTTAAGATGAGTTTTCTTAGTGCTAGTGTGGTTAGCGCTAACTTTAACATTAGCTCAGCTGAAGATGCAGTTTCAGTCACTAAAACCTTATTAGACATAAAAGATCTGCTGCTTTAACATGCAGAGGCTTCCCTGGTTTGGAAAATGATTACTGATAATTGCTTTTTATTTAAACTGACCTACATTCATATTGTGTAGATTCTCAAACATGCATATTTACACTGAACATTTTGTACAGCCAGTTTATTTTCTGAATAAACAGTGTTTTCACATGTACTCTTCTGAGTGCTACCAGGTGGCCTGGTTTGACAGACATAGCAACAGTAACTAAGGGTAGCAAGACATTCTAAAATTTTGCAAACTATTACTTGCATTGCTACACACTGCAATTGCAATATACATTTCAATATATTCAATTAATATATTCATGAACATTTGATGGGACATGGCTAAAGGATGACCTGCTAACCTTCATCCAAACACACAGATGTGGTCATAGTACACAACAAAACACTGGCTCATTTGTATATGGCATCCTTCTGCAATATCAGTACTGCGAAATCCGAGGTGATGATAATGATTAAGAAGCAATATATCGTGTACTCATACATTGAATTATGCAGAAATTTGGAAAAATCAGTGGAATTTCCCTTTGGGAAATGCATATGTATAAGTAAATGTATTACTTTTCGTTCAGCGTGCTATAGATGTACAAACAGTGATCTTCTGATTGTGTCACAGTGCACATTCAAAACTCTGATCACACAAATATTAGTCACATCATTAATGACAAATGTCACAGTTTATCTGCAATTGTAGACAATTAAAAACGTCAGTTATGAGCATTAATTTTGCAGAAACAACTCAGTTTATCTGCCAATGCATTGTGAAACCTCAATCTCACATTCAGTCGTCTGTTGGGTATAAAGCCATCCCGAGTATTACCACCAGATTCTGTAACAGTTTTTACCCGCAAGTGTTCTGCATTATTAATAAAGAAGTCGTGAGCCGTCCTGATCCACACTGATCTGCTCTATAGCTGTCACATTCACTGCCTCCAGTTATTACTGATTCAATATTAAATGTCCGCTGATTGAAGCAGCAGGAATTATGTCTCTAAACATAGTGGTGGTTACTAGGCTGAAAAAAGGGAAGTGAATGTACTTGATTCAAATGTGCACATAATTTCCACATGAATAAGTATATATTATATCAACTTTTACTTATAGTTTTTTGTAATAATTTTGTATAAAACATTACACAACACATGACTGAAATAAAATATATAATAATAACTAGGGCTGCCAAAGTAACTCATCAATAACATTTGTTGTGGTTAGCAGTTTCTATGATACATTATTAATGCTGTTAACTCATTTTTCTAGTTCAGACTTAGTAGTGCAGGCTGAAGCCCAGCTGTAGCGTGCTCTGTGTTGCTCTGATAAAATCCATGATTGAAGCCTTCTCATTCAAATACAGCATTTAAATGGCTTTTGAAGTGAAACTTTCAGCACCTTCAGCAGACTATGCTGGATAGTGTTTGTGGGAGAGCTGTATACATGATATATATATACGCATTGGTGGGAACATGCAGCCGCTGTTGCTCTCACTGGCTGTTGATGATGAAGACTGGAAACTGTTCATCCGTGGAAATCATGCATCTTTTTTTTGGTCACATTTGAGCAAAAGAGAATTGCGATTAACTACACAAACTGCTATGATTACTTCCAATTAATTATTTTAATGGATTGACAGCTCTAGTAAAAACATATGACAACAATATATTACATAAAAATGCACAACGTAATTATTTCTGAAAGTAAGTACACTGAAAGTAATCAGTGTTGCAATATGTTAAATATTTGTCGCACGCATATGAATTGATTAAATTCAATATTTTTTTTTTTTACTTTTTTTCAGTATAGACTTGACAATATTATCAAAACAAAACAGTACCAGACATCTAACCATATTTTTACCAACATGTTAGTTTCTGTTACTGCCACTTCACACGTCTTCTTACTGACTTCTCACGTCAACTAATCGCCTTCTTGCAAGCATGTCAACCAATCACCTATCAGGAATGCAAGCATGTATTATGGTCTGAAAGGAGAAGTGATGTTAATGCTTTACTACAAACACATAAATGTCCGACCAATATTTTTGATTAAAAAATTAGGTTAATGTCTGAAAAACAACTGAATTTGAATAGGTGGTTTTTTCGTTCAAGCTTAGTTTACACTATTTGGAGTAGCTACAGATCAGTGATGTGCTACAAATCCATGCTTTTCGGCTCTCAAAGTCATTGGCCAAGAGTCTACCCCAACATCAAGACATGCTGAAATTGACTCTTGCAGAATCTACTCCCCAACACAAAAAAGCGTTAGAAGAACTGTTGTGTGACCCCTTTTCTGCAAGAAGGCCTAGGAAAGACAGCCAAGTATTTTGCCAATGTTCTCAGGGAGACGGCTTTGAGAGCTGCTGAGGCCAGCAACCTTGACCAGACGCAACTTGTGCATACCGACTGCGTAGTGGTATGTGGTAAATGTAAGTAAGTAGACCACATTACGTTACTGACATATCTGTTACATTAGGCTGTCTTTTCATTCAATACACCTTAAAGTGCTGTGTTACATATTTTCATGAGCAACAACTGTAGGTTAACAATTAATCACTGACTAATAACCGTTGATTTTCGGTCAAAAGAATTCATCAAAATTCACATCTCTAGAAAAGAGCCACACATAGAAATTTAGATATAACAAGGCACTGTTGAAGTTTTTGTGAAAAGCACCACGTACAAACATGAGAGTGTGACACAGAAGGAATGTACAAACTTAGTCACAAGATTCAGTCGTGTAATTCGGATCTTATGGGCTCCAGCGCGATTCGTGTGTCCCACCCTAAAAAATGTCCTTCAGTGAATAAAGAAATGACAATATCATTTGCTTGTTTATTGTTATGTCTCAAACAAGTTGGTGATGTAATGTAATGTTTGTTTGGTATGTTGGCTGGTATTAAGTAACTGTAGCTACCTTGGACAGCAAATTAATGGGTGTTAAATTGTGATAAAATAGCGTAAAGTTGTGAGATAAGATGTTCAAAAAAACTCATTAGGGGTCCAGAGCGTGACTGCACCACTGGTTACACCACTGACAAGTTTCATTTCAAATGGAAAAATTAACGCACACAGGAGAAAGTTTATTATTTAGAACACGTCACTGCTAGCAAGCAATTCAAATAATTCAAATAAGTTCCAAATAATTAAAAAAATGAAGTGCAGATTTCAAAGGATGTTTTATTTCTTTTCTGAGTGTTTGATTTTTTAAATATGACTGAATATATTGTGATTTTTGTGATATGCAAAAAAAAAAACATTTTAAAAAAGTGAGTGAATGAATACAGAAATGAATACAATCTACAAGTGAGTTTAGGAAAACTAGGATTTGTAATTCGCTCCCCCATTAGGGGTCCACAGTGTGATTGCACCACTGGCAAGGTCCATTTCAAAGAAAATAGTTCAACGTGGAAAGAAAACGTACAGTGGAGGAAATTAATTTAGTAGAACACTTTTCACCGTCAACAAGCAATTCAGCACCACTTTGTGGCCAAATGATGAAACTCATGATTTTAAAAGTAACCACAACAGGCATATATGAATTATTCTTTTTGTGAGTATCTGATTTTTCAAATATGAATGAAAATATTGTGCTCTGGGATATGCAAAAAAGACCAATTTGTGATTTTGAGATGTGAATGTGAATCAATACAACAATGAGTACAGTCTACATTAGGAAATGCAATTTGTTCCCTATTCTGAACTGGTTCATGGGTCAACAAGCATATTAGCTGACTATTTTGAGCCAAGCAGGCTCACGTAAGGAACACTCCAGCCTCTGCTGCATCTGTATCATTACTGTCAATAAGATTGCACATTTCAGCATCTGCCCATTGGAAACGTGTTGAAATGAGTGTCTGTGGCAATCGACCATCCGCTACAGATAGAACAGACAGAGATTAGGTCAAAAACACTGGAGTATTCCTTTAATGGCCACATATGATATATATGAAGCACGATACCAGTGCAAAAATCAAGAGGCTGAGATTCTAACAAGCAGTTACTGATTGCATTAGGAATTCACGACGGCCCCAGAGGTCAGAGAGTCAAGTCAGAGTCCAATATGTCAAAAGAGCAGCTGCCACATTACAGCATTTCAATGTGCTACACTGAATCAGTCTGGCTATAAACCGAGCCGCTGTCTTAATGGCACCGACATCAGTAAATTAGGAGAGTTTATAAATAACAGCCGTAAAGCTGCAGCAGCAGGTGATACAGAGAGAAGAGAAACAAACATGGCACGGTACCTGCTGTGAAGTTGTAGTTCGCTGAAAAGCCCATGGCTTCCAGTTCACCGTCTGCGACGAATTTTATCCAGAGGTAGCGGCCGCTGGACCTGATGTACTGGGGGCTCTGCTGACCACAGTAACGTCCAATTATCGGAGAAAAGCCAAAAGGACCGTCCCGCACTTCGATGTGGTCGAATTTACATTCCCATGACGGTTCTATTGAGTACTTTTCATCAAAGAAGAGATCAATGCACTGTCTCGGGGGAGCTGGAACAGCAAAAGCAAACACAAAACACAAACATGACTGCAATCTACAGGGAACAATTAAGCTGTAATTGAATGCATGCTGTCAATTTTGACCCACTCATGTCCAACAGCTGCATTTATAAGGGAAATAATAAGGGAATAAATGCTATAGTTATACTTTAGGTGATTAACAGTACTTATTTGATCTTTTTATTATGTCTAATTTTCATATTTTGAAGAGCCCTTAGCAACGTTATTGGGGAAACCCACATTGTGCTATGGTAAAAAATACAATTTATCTACAGGCACTGACAAAACTATTTTTTTCATCTAATATTTTGTATTCAGTGTCAAATTTGTGTTTCCTATTTTACTAAATATGATAAAATGATTAAACAAAGTGATGAAAACTCATCTTGGCTGATTTCTTTTTTGGCTGATGGCCAATTGTTTCGGTCAATTTTTACAAGCTATTTTTACATCCAAAGCTCACACCGTGTGGTTAAACAAACACATGAAACTTTCTATTAACCAAACTCACAATATGACTAACGTTTGCTATTTAATGGGCCAAACTGGCATTTTACTTTTTTTTATTTCAAATCATGTTACACAGATGTGTATAATTATGCTACCATATTTTAGTTCAGATGTAGCAGCAGCATTCAAATACACCTCTTACCTGCCTCACTTTATTATCTGTCGATTTCGTGTTTTGAGCAAAAACATGCCAAATCCCATTTTTAATTATTGAAACACATGGGCTCAACCGATACATCAGCTGTATTATCCTATAACAACACAGGACACCTTCAAGGTAAACATTACAAAAAATTCAGACATTAAATTTAAACGTGTATGAGTATCAGAATATCATAACACTTTATAAAGAGATGTAATGCAAAATAAGAACAATTAGAGGTGATAAACAGAAACTAAAAGTGGAAAACATTCTCCACACCCAGAGCTACAATGTATTATTTAAGACTGTGAGTCTCTGCTGACAATCATATAGTCAATAAAGCTGTTTAACTAAAACTACTGAAGTAGAAAACTTTGAAACTAAAATGTAAATGTATAATTACAATCGGCTGATATGTTTGGTTACTTGAATATTATGCTATACCGTTTGGTATCAGTATTGGCCCTAAAATGTTCACATCGGTCAGACCCTAACATGCACCAAACGAAATTTAAATGATCAGATTTGTACAATGGGTTAACAGCCTTATTTAAATCATTATTTAAAGAGAAAGAAGGCATATTTTCAACACCCATGCAAGCTATGCGCACTGCAAAAGTGCTGCACTGAAGGAACTGGATTCAAGTCCACAACAACACACTGACTGACAAAAGTACTGATGTTGCCATAAATAGCTTAAAAACACGAAATATCGGTGTCAGACAGATGTTTAGATTTGACAGATATTTTAAAGCAATAATTGATGATGTATATGATGTATTTATTGTACTCTGGGAGAGCTGAATGTTTAGGTAACTTCCATAAAATATCTGTATTTTATTCATTTTACTGCAAAAATAAATGTTATATCTCTCTGTAATGATAATACAGTTTTTACATTGCTACAAGAACCATTTCGGATAACGGCATCGGCCCACAATTCTCATATGGGTGCATCTCAGAACTTAATGTGGGAATGTTTTGAAACAAATAAAATCAACATATTACATTTTTAGTGTACATATCTCAAAAGCACAAAAGCACGAACTTAAAATTAATAATACTGTGGAGAAAATACAGCATTTCAGAAAGTGCAAGCAAACCAAACATGAAAAAATCAAGATAAAATGAATGAATTAGAAAGAATAGAGTGAACCAATCACATCCTTCATGACTCGAAAAAGCTGGATATTTTTAGACTGGAGTATGTAATTTCCTCTGTAAAGATGATCCTCCAATCAAGATGTTTGTAATCTTATTATGATGGTGACAATCTACAAGAGCGATTAGAGCGCTCAGCCAGTTTAGATCATTAGCAAAACTGGGATTTGTAATTTGTTCCCTGTTCTAAACTGGTTCATGGGTCAACAAGCACATTAGCTGACTATTCTGAGCTGAGCAGGTGCAACTGGAATTACGCAGCTATTCAGAAAAAAAACCCATTAAATATCAATGTTATTTTAATTTCTAGACGCAGATGAGTCAGATCCATTTAAAGACACCTGGATGTGCTGTGATCTGGTTCCAGAGTGATTACTGGTGTTGCTTCTTTTAGTGAGGAGCAGGTTTTAAATTTACTTCCATAAAATTACTAATAAAGTGTGCATATTTGCACAGTTTTTATTATTAAAGGAAACTGAGAAAGTGAAACTGATTTGCTCATCCATTAATAACCAGTTATTAGCCAACAGGCAATATGTACCTAGAGTGAAATTTACTTAACCTGGCATTAGAATTGCTTAAATTTTAGTAATATTTACTTACCAGATTTTAAATAAATGTACTTTCATTTACTTTTACAGCATCTCTAATAAAGTGTGCATGTTTTTCTACTGTTAAAGTAAAAATAAAGTAAATTGTGAAGGTGATACTCTTACATTCATATACTAATACTGTTAAATTTATGTTAAATTTACCTAAACTTTCAGGGCAATTTTCTCAAACTTAGTTAAATTTACTTCAATAACATCTACACCTTCAAAACCACCTCCTTGTTTCAACACTGGCCATTGTTTCTATTGTCCATTTCATTTTATCAGCTCCATTTACCATATAGTTGCACTTAGTAGCTCTACAGTTACAGACTGTAGTCCATCTGTTTCTCTGCACACTTTATTACCCTGTTCTTCAATGGTTAGGACCCCCATGGACCCTCACAAAGCAGGTACTATTTGGGTGGTGGATCATTCTCAGCACTGCAGTGATCAGACACAGCAGTGCTGTTGGAGTTTTTGAACACCTCAGTGTCACTACTGGACTGAGAATAGTCCACCAACCAAAAATATCCAGCCAACAGCATCCTGTGGACAGCATCCTGTGACCACTGATGAAGGACTGTGCAGCAACAGGTGAGCTACTGTCGCTGACTATACATCTACAAGGTCACCACCTGCCACCAACAAGGCAGGTGTGTCTAATAGAGTGGACAGTGCGTGGACAGTGTTTAAAAACTCCAGCAACACTGCTGTGTCTGAAACAATATATATCTGATGTATATCTGATACATCTACTGATAAAGACTAACAAGAAATTGTGCAGATGATACAGTGTCATTCATGAGAAATAGACTTATACATGCTTACATTAGAGTGAAATTTACCGAAACTCCCTTACACAACATCACTGACATAGTATACAAAGAAAATTGAGTAAACAGTGAATGTGAATGTGCTCCATTCTTCCTCCAATGAGCAGATATCAGACAAAACGCAAAGGGCAGCTGAAATGAAACGCAGATAAATCCGCCCTTGGGGTGCGCGTACCTTCAATGATGTAAATGCACTCTCTCTCTGGGGGGTATTTGTTGGGGTAATTTGGAGATGTGAAGAGCCCTCCCTCTGGATTTTTCACCCACGTTCCGCACTGCCCTGCTGGCTGCACCCCTGAGTTGTTTTTCACTGGAAGAAGAACGTTAATGAGTGAACTGAGAATAAGTGAGGGTTTTGTGACCAAAAGGGGTAAAAAAAATAAAAAAATTACCTGCTTCCTTCTTCGTTGCCCCAGACAACCCAAGTATGAGGAGACTTGCAACAGCTGTGAAAGAATTTAATATCAACAGAGCATTATTATCAGTTCCAAAAGCCTGTGAAGGCTATTGTATTGCTAATCGATAAATTTGTGCTGTGCTAGTTCATTGCCCAGAAAGATGGAACTCTATTTCAGGTTTATTATGAGGTTCATTTCAAAAGAGAAAAACACAATAAAAACTCTGATTAAATAACCTGTAAAAGAGGATAGGTTTTAAGCACAAAGTAGAAGGTGCTACTTTCAGTGTGTAGCGTACATAGGGAACAGAAGCTACACAGCAAAATCCCCAGTGTTGAACTCTTTTAGTGTTTGTGTTCTCATATAACATATTATATTATTAAATATTACATATTCTTATATAAGCACCTCAATATACCTCAAATGTAAATTGCAAATCTACCTCACAACTAACATCCCACTACACTGCAAACAAAAACAGCCAGTATTAGTTGCATCTACAACAGCAACATACCTCAACCCTAAAAGTAAAAGCGCCAGTATATCTCACACTTATAGCTCATACCTAAAATAGCCAGTGTAGCTCACGCATAAAAGCAGCATTACACGTTTGTACGTCTCACGCATAAAATGCTAGTATATCTCATGCATAGAACTCCTGGCTTGCTCATGCATGAAAAACACAGTTTATGTCTCACAGAGACTACGTGTAAACCTTATAAAATTCCAGTGTACCTCACATACAAAATACCAGTACCCAGACTGTATGTCATACATAGAATGCCAACCACTCATGCATAAAAAACATCAGTATAGCTCATGCATAAACACTGTAATATCTCACATTTAGAACTCCAATCTACCTTTAGCAGAGCTCAGTAACACTGAGATTAATAACTGATTATTACATTGATTTTCACATTGATTTATCAGTCTACTCAGGCTTTAGTAGAGTTCAGTAACACTGAGATTAATAACTGATCATCATATTGATTTATCAGTCTACTCAGGCTTTAGCAGAGCTCAGTAACACTAAGATTAATAACTGATCACACTGATTTATCAGTCTACTCAGGCTTTAGCAGAGCTCAGTAACACTGAGATTAATAACTGATCATACTGATTTATCAGTCTACTCAGGCTTTAGCAGAGCTCAGTAACACTGAGATTAATAACTGATCACACTGATTTATCAGTCTACTCAGGCTTTAGCAGAGCTCAGTAACACTGAGATTAATAACTGATCATCACATTGATTCATCAGTCTTCTCAGTCTTTAGCAGGAACTTCTTAGAGCATGTCTACACACTGTGCGCTCATTTTAAAATAGTTCATAAATAAGCATTGATGGTGTGTCTTTTACAGATGACAAATATACATTTTTAAGTATTCTAAAAGTATTTACTTAAAATGTATCAGGTAACTGTATTCTGAATATTGACCTTATAAAATATAACTCAGACTGAATACAGATACTAAAAGGGGAATTCCACTTATTTTGCTAAATTTCTGCATAATTAAATCATTGAGATGTAAACAGTCATTCAGAGTGGTTTTGTGTGAAAAGCTCCATTCTAGAGAAACTTGTCGTGTTAGAATTGTTCACAGTGGTGATGAGAGGAATCAGACGTGTGAAGCGTTCGATGCCTCTTCAAGCTCTCTCACAGAAAGTAATTACATTAATTGGTTATGAAGATGTTCCTTAGTGACCGAGACATTGTTTTATGACAGTTTTGTGATCAGGTTTTGGCTTAAAACATATTTTGTTTAATCCATTCATAGTGGAGGGGTACATGCAGGGTGTTGTGAGGCAAAATAGTCCCCAAAGAAAATTAAACTTTTTTACCATGATCATCACCACATATAAATACTCAGAAGACACATGTAGGTTCACTGGTAGTTTTGGATAGTAAATAAAACATTTGTGTTGTAGATATTGTGACCTCTGCTTCCTATCAACACCACTGTAAAGAAAACTGAGTGAGTAAATTTCTCTACAGTTAACCACTCTGAATGACTTTGTTTACATCTCAACCATTGACCGATGCATATTTTTTTTCAAAAATTGGTGGAATTCCCCTTTAATTTCTGTATTGTGAATATGTATTCCCAAAACTTGTATTCCATTACCTCCTAACCCTGTTTGTAGAACACCAGTCTCACTCATAAAACATTACAATACCTCCCACTTAAAAATCAGTGTACCTCACACATCAAACAGTAGTGTGACTGACGCATGAAACGCCAGCATATCTCACGCTTACAACTCCAATATACCTCACGCATAAACCACCAGTACATCTCACGTGTACCTCACGCGTAAATGTTAGCATAGCCTACCTCACAAGAAAAGACACAATGTAAACCTCACGCGCAAAGACTAACTCATGCACAAAGCGCGGGTAAAATGCCAGTCTCGCGTGAACCGAGAAGGCAGAGTGAAGTTAAAGGGGAATTCTATACAACATCTATATATACACACACACACATATATATATATATATATATATATATATATATATATATATATGTGAAACGCTCTGCTCTGGAGAAACTCACCGAGCCAGAATTGTTCACCGTGGTGGTGACAGGAACCAGACGTCCACCTCTAAAAGCTCCCTCACAGAAAGTTATTACATGAAAAGACTAAGGATACACGACCTACCTGATGCCTGAGACATTGTTTCACAGCATTTTTGAGATAAGGTTCGTGGTGGAGGGGTACATGTAGGATGTTATAAGGCGAAAGAGTCCCCAAAAGGAAACATTTTTCCAGATTTACTATTATTTTACCATTATAAAAACACAGAACACATGTCCAGGTTGACTGGTGGTTTCGGATAGTAAATAAAAGGCTATATTTGTGTTACAGACATTTCGACCCCTGGCTCCTATCACCACCACTGTAAACAAATCTGAGTCTGTAAGTTTCTCAACCACTGACATGCAGAGATTTAAAAAAAAATCGGTGGGATTCACTTTAAGATGGGTTTTGGGGGGTTCTGGACTCACCGTGAAGGAAACTGCGCCCATGTACCATGTCTGTTCCTTTCACAACGTGCTTCGACCTCAACTAATTCCATTTAGAAGGGAATACTTCAAGAAGAAACGAGTGATGGGTCTAAAGTGAGTGAGCGAGAGAGAGAGAGAGAGAGAGAGAGAGAGAGAGAGAGAGAGAGAGAGAGAGAGAGAGAGAGAGAGATTTCATGCAGCAGCTGCTGATGCGGGGGAGAAAATTCCGTAAAGAAAAGCTCAACTCCTCTCCAGCTCGGGATAAAACCAGGCTTTAAAACATGAGCCTGAAATCCATCCAAACGCTTCCAAATCCTTCCGCTGCACGGAGCGCGTGGACAGGTCCTTCATTAGCTTCCTTGCTGCTCTCCACCTTCACTCTTCAGCGACACAACGATGCTGACATTTGGAGAAACCAGAAAGAAATCCTCCATCTCTTTTCAGGAACAATCCTCAGAATCGATCCGTGCGCCAGTTCATTTCTCCTTCTGCTCTTCACTTGTTTGCAGCACGCACAGCACGAGCCTCAACAACAACTTCAGCAACATGAAAAATCAATTTTTAAAAGATGTATTTATGTTGTTCTCCTCCAGAGCAGACGACGACAAATCCCCCCAGTGCAATCAGCAGGCTTTCTGCTGGTTTTGCTGGTCAGCAGCCCAAGAGTTCGGTCATCACCATCATCCTTGGCAGCAGCTGGGCTTTCCTGTCTTGCATGGCTTGGAGTTCATCTTGTTTTCCCACAGCAGTAGGCAGGAACATGCACTTCTATCTGCTCCCCATATGTTTGCAATCCAGTTAAAAACGCTGAGAGAAAGTGGAGGATGTTGCTGGCGCAAAGCCGGCCAGACTGCAGGACCTCAGAGAGAGAGAGAGAGAGAGCGGGAGGAAGACAGAGAGACTGACAGCGAATGTGCAGGTGAGCGAAAACCACTCGGTGAGAAAGAGAGTGGAAGAAAGAAGCGAAAGAGGAAGAAAGAGAAGAGAAACATAAAGAGACAGAGAGAAATAAAGAGAAATGTGAGGAGACGCCCGGCTCTCAGTGGCACCTGCAGCAGGAACTGCTGAGCTGGACGCGGTACGCTGTTTTTTTTAACACCCGTATTCTGACAAACCCCGCCCCCTGCGCTGTGGTTGGTTGGCGCTCCGCTTCTTAAGCTACGTTTGGCGTGTAGCGTCCCTCCTCCTGCGTGAGGGTTGGCTAGCAGTAGCTCCGCCTCCTGCGCTGAGATTGACTAGTGGTTAACAGTGCTGAGCGATATAGCACTGATCTTTTTCAATGCCATTACACGTAATACAAGCTAATATGTTGATAACAGGGATGTGAACCCACAGCACAGCTTCACTATTTACTACTCCAACCATCTGATTCAACTCATGAGTTCCATAATCAGTCAATGAGCTGTGTTGAATCAAGCAGTGCTGTGGGTCACCAGCATGACTAAGAAACACTGGTCTATACCAATCTGTCCATTCTAAGCTTATATATGCCCACTGATCAACGTATTATGCTAAAACTCCACTTTTAAAAAAATTGTGCGGAGCCTTGCTGGTGACATCCTGTATAAATAAAACTAATGCATGGCCATGACTTAGTAAGGCGTGGGAACGAGATAAGTAAGTTGTGGCCCTGACTTAGTAAGGCATGGGAACGAGATCCTAATGCGTGGCCACAACTTAGTAAGGCTTGGGAACAAGATCCTAATGCATGGCCACAACTTAGTAAGGTGTGAGAAAGAGATCCTAATGAGTGGCCACAACTCAGTAAGGCATGGGAATGAGATAAGCAGTGACCACAGCTTAATAAGGCATGATCTTAATCCCATGCCTTACTAAGTCATGGCTACACATTATTTTTATTTATACGGGATGTCACCAGTAGGGCTGTGTAGCATCAAGCATACATTCATGAACAATCCTTTTAAACAATTATTAGTTGTTGGTTAAAGAAAACACCCCATATCATATATTTTCATGTAAGGGTTGACTCTCAAAAGGAAACATCAACATTGGGAGTATTGATTTTTTAGTATCGATCCACACATCCCTAGTGGTTAAAGGAATCGTTTGTCAGAAAAATAAAATTACACAGTTTTCCACTTACCCCACATGTAGACACCAGCCAAGATATCCAAATTTTACTTTTACTTTAGATTTTTTAATTTTAGTATCCCAGCTAAAATGCTTTGATTTGTATGTGTATTTTTTTCCATAACATTCAGAGCTCTTACAAACTCATCAGTGTTTTTAGAGTATTAGCATTTTTAATTCATTGTATTTCACATGACTAATGATGCTATGTAATCAGAAAGGCAATTGAACAGCACTAATATCTCAAGCGTAACAGTCAGTAAAGCAGAGTGAACTGGATCATTTATTCCATGTTAGACCCGAACGCGCATCCATTACATCCACAATAAACTGGACGCTGATGTCAACTGCGAATGATACAGATGGCCGGGGTTGCGGCTTCCTCTCAACAAGACTGACTAAAATGTATCAGTTGAAGTTTTCATAACTGAGTGGATGTGAGGAGAACTTAGGCCTCTTCAAATTTCAGCTGCATTATTACACAATGTAGTTTTATATACTTTATTAAAACCAGACAAAGCACTTTTTCACCCTCTAAATCCATCTAAAGTCTGCTCAATTTGGAGGGAACCCACCCAATCTGGCAACACTGAAAACAAGGTCGGCAGCTTACACTGAATTTTTTGCAATCCATACAAAAAATAATCCAATATAGGATAAATCAGTGTTATATCACAAAAGCAAAGAACTTTCCTCTGGGTGGATAACGCAGGTAGTGCTGCACTGGTACAACAGGATTCTGCACTAATCCTGAGACATATTTAATGGTCTTTTTGGTCATGTTATCTCACTATAAAGCAGTGGTCATCAACCATAGTTCAAGAGATCTGGGGCTGGATTCACGAAAGCTTTCTCAAGACAACAAGCTTCGCAAGGCAAACACGAGGAAGTTCATAAGAATGTTCTCCAATGCAGGTCTTGAAAAAATTAAAATAATTCCTAAGAAGTTTTTCCAGGATCTCCAGGAGGTGGATTAGTGACCACTGCTCTAAAGTATCTAATTTGGCTAATTAGCTACCTTACTTGCCAGTTAGCTTACCTGATATGAAATAATAAACTACACTATTCTGTGCACTCACACAAGCTTAACACTTTCTCAGTCGAGTGTGATAATCTGAGCAAAAGCACTCGTTCTGTGGAAGCTATCATAACTATAATTTATAGGTATCATAACTACTCATAGCAGCTCTTCCTGCTTTTGAAAGCTGGAAAAACACCACAAACAGGGAGAGACTTCTCTTCTAGAGAGGAAAAAGTGTCAGCTAATGTCTAAAAAGTGCCCAGAAGTGTTTAGTCATTGTCATACTTGATGACGCGGCTGATCAAAGTGACTCGGGGATGTGAAGTGATGTCTGCGCTGTTAAATGAGCCTTGGCAACCAGTGGACATTTCCCATGTTGCAATATTCACATTCAGCATGTCCTGCTCGGGCCTGATGCCACTCCGTGCATGCTAATAAATGCATTTGTATGCATGCATCGACCTGCATAAAATATGACACTCCTCAAGTACATCAAGGGCTTTTGAGTAACAGCCAGCTCATAGATGGTTCCAGGCCTGAACAGGTTGAGCATTAGTAAATCTGACACTGATGCTGGACTTTCCCTTTAAGCTTAGAAGTCGCAGTTATAGGTGGTGATAACAAAACCATGCTGTAATCGTAGATTAATTCTTTCTGGCTTGTAGCTCATTGAAGCAAGAGGAGAAATGGTGTGGAAAGTGTAGATTCTAAACTTTCAGTTCATTTGGGTTTAAAAGAAAAACTAATAACTCCTGTAAATACAGGATGTAAACAAAGCATAAATGTAATTCAGCATATGATTAAATTTCCAATTATGTAATTACATTAGAAAAGTAGAGCTAAATGACTTCCAGAGTGTTTAAAATGGTTAAAGGGCCCATATTTTGGAAAAATAAATTTTTCTTGTTTATTTTTTTTTAAATAAAAGAGTTGTTATAGTTTCAAAATGTATTGTTCACTCCCCAGTCTAAAGACCAAATATCGCTGCTGTCAGAACAAAACCTTGTATCTCCAAAATGGTAACTGTACAGGAGAAGGAAAAAACTTTTAATTTTAATGTAAGTCAATGGAACCAGACTTTTTTTCCAAGTAATTCTGGGCCTTTTCTTTTGGTCCATCATGAAATTTACACATAATGTAAAGGTCAACAGGCATTTTCAAATTATGTCAAAAACTGAAAAATGCTTTCTAAGCTCCAGAAACAGCCCATTTTGAGTTTACTGTATTTGTGATGTCACAAAAACTAGCTCATTTACATATATCCACCTATGCACAGCAGTTTAGCCCCAATCATTCATGTTTAAGTTATAAAGAAAAAAAAAAGTGTTTTAGCCTGGACTGCGTTTTGCATGAAGGGTGTCAGTAAGAACAGAGGTCTTTTACATATATCAGTTGTATGCAAAAGTTTGGGTACCACTGATCAAATTATGTGGTTTTGATTTTTTGAGTGAAATAAAGTTAACACAATCTCTACACTGAGCACACTTCTGCATATTTTCTCTTTATACACTGGATGTAATGTTTAGCAAAAAAAAAAAGTGGCCTGTGCAAAAGTTATGGCACATTTATATCTTGTTCCAACATGTTAAAGTCAGCAAAAAAGTGGCATTTTGACCAGGGATGTACAGCCTGTAAGGGATAACGACAGGTTGAAAAATAGTCACGTAACATGAAATGATGATTGTTTTTGGCCCATAACCACACAAACATTCCCACCACTACAGGTGGGAACAAATTTAAATACAAGGAAAATGTAGGATATGGGCCCTTTAAGATTTTAGTTCAGATGAGAGAAGCTTCTTCTAAACCAGTGTAAGTGCATGTATCTTCTGGCAGTGTTAGGACTGAAAGTGCACTGACTGTGAAGGAAACTGAATGAATGAAAGTGAACAGACTGTCCTTCATGTCTTCTCACTCAGCAAGCACTACGGCTACTACTACTCATAATGAGACACTGAAAGCCATTAGAATGAACCGCGGAGACACT